TCAGGCTGCTCTTGAACTCCTGGCTCAAGCGATCCTCTCACCTTGGCCTCCCAAAGTGCTGAGATTACAGGTGTGAGCCCTACCTAAAAATTATATATAAGTAGAAATAGACAAAAATTATATATACATAATTTTTATGTATTTTCTACTTTTAAAAATGTAATCAGATTAAACATGCTATTTTTCAAGTTGTTTTCCCCTTCAAAGTATGTATTACACATCTTTATAAGAGATGCAACTTCATTTTTTCTGCAACTTAGTTTCAATAGCTGAAGAAGATTCCACTGTTTGACAGCACCGTCACTTACTGAACCCTCTACTGGAGTGCGTGCACTTGGATCATTTCTGATTTCTTGCTCTTACAAATACTGATGTAATGTCTACCTTTGTATATATCTTTCTGTATAGGCATCAATATCCTAATTACCTTTATAATGAACAAAATGACATAAACAGTGTAAAATGCATTATAACATGCACAAAAGCAGTGAACTTAGAATACATGCACATTTATAAGGGAGTCTCTCATCCGTCCCCTTGATCTGTCACCTTGGTGAAGGTGACCAAAAAAATCCAAGGTAGGGCCGGGCGCAGTGTCTCATGCCTGTAATCCTAGCACTTTGGGAGGCCAAGGCAGGTGGATCATGAAGTCAGGAAATCAAGACCATCCTGGCTAACACGATGAAACTCCATCTCTACTAAAAATATAAAAATTAGCTGGGTGTGGTGGTGCATGCTTGTAGTCGCAGCTACTTAGGAGGTTGAAATAGGAGAATTGCTTGAACCCAGGAGGTGGAGGTTGTAGTGAGCAGAGAGTGCACCACTGTACTCCAGCCTGGGTGACAGAACAGGACTCTATCTCAAAAAAAACAACAAAAAAAAATCCAAGGTAGGAGCAACCTTGTCATTCAGAAAACAGTGAAAACCGTCCAGTCCAAAATACCAACAGTGCTCCTGCGGACAAATGCTAGCCAGGTCCCCCATGGCACAAGCAGGAAAGCAAAGGACAGAGAGGTGCTGGGACTTGCTGAAACTGAGGTGGGGACAGAAGAAAGCAAATGCTTCTACCCTCAGCCCTGGGATCTGCAGCTCGCACCAGCCAGTGCGCATCTGGCTCATTAAGAAAGTGGCTTCTTCTCATGAGAGGGATGACCTGCCCTCTCAGAAGTGTCAGGCAAACAGTGTGGGCAGAGAAGTGAGAAGATTCTAGCTTGATTATAGACAAATTGCTAAATGCCTCTGAGCATCAGTTTCCTCATCTATTAAATAGGGATCATATTATTTAGCCAACCGTGAGCCGTGAAGAACTGCTCTACCTTGGTAATGAAAGTCTTTGCAAAATTATAGCTGAGGAAATGATAACCGTGAAAGAAATCACACCTAACCAACTCCATCTTGCTTCTAACCTTGAAGCTGTCCTTGTTCATTCCTGGGCATAGGCCGAACTAACTTTGAGAAAAAATTCAGTTCATGGTTTGACTCTGAAACAAAATTGGTAACAGCCCCTTCCTAAAAAGACCCCCTTCTTGCCCGAGGACTGGTTTGCCTTTGCAGGACTAGCAAATTAGCTATGAGATTAGAAATTACAGTTTAGACTCCTGCAGCTCCTGGCTCCAAGAGTCTAAACCTCCCCAGATTGCTCCTGGGTATATGATCACTACTGTAAAACCTATGATCAGTGCTTGAGATATTTTGTAGACCCTACACTCCGAAGGATCAGCTGACACCACCCAAACGGTAATCCAGCTCAACCAGTTCTGCCATCACCTCCAGGAACAGAAAACAGCAAGAAAACTTCATCTCTAACCTGACCAATCAGCACTCCCCATTTCCCAAGCCCCTACCCACCAAATTATCTTTAAAAACTCTGATCCCAGAATGCTCGGGGAGGCTGATTTGAGTAATAATAAACCTCTGGTCTCCTGCACAGCAGGTTCTGTGTGAATTACTCTTTCGCCATTGCAATTCCCCTGTCTTGATAAATCAGCTCTGCCTAGGCAGAGGGCAAGGTGAAACCATTGGGCGGTTACAGTAAGGTTATTTTTATTTTCTTTTGTTTTTTAGACACCTGGAGACACGTGCCCATTTGCTAAAGGCTTCATCTTCTGCTTTGACCCCCACCCTCAGCCTTCACTGACTTTCCTCCCACATCACACTGCACTGTCTTCCTGACACCCTCGCCACACTCAGTGCCAAGACTGCCCTTTGTTCCCGCTTCCCATCCTTCACAAGCTTCTGCCTCACTCACTCCCCTTCTGCTGGGCCTATGTGATTCTCATAGGCTGGGCAGAGTCGGGGGACAGCAGTTTGTTTTCCTGGCCAGTCCAAATCCTCCCTTCCTCTGAAAAATCATCTCCCCACCGGCCACACTGCCCCATGTGGATGGGAAGGGAGGAGACTTCCGTGTTGTCATGTGACCCCACCCTCTGTACCAGAGACTGTTGACAAGCCTGGCCTAATGGGAGACACCCTTCTTCCTGGGCCTCACTGATTGATCCAAGGATTGGTCTGATTGAGCCAAGTGGGGCCAATCAGAGCCCTCCCCTGGGATTATAGATACCAAAGCCTCCAATGGTGAATTCAGGCTCGTGCAGGAGGTGGTGATGCTGGAAAAGGTGAAACTAGATGGTGTCCTGAGCTTAGTGGAGACGGTTAGTCTGGGAGCCTAACCTATGTGCGCAGAAAGGCAGGGGCCAGGGAGATGGGCCTGGCAGCATTTATGTTCCAGGTTCCAACCAACTTTGAGGCCCACCCCACTGCATTTCTTCTCCAATTTGGCTCCACAATGTACAGTTTCCTGTTTGCCTTAACTCTTCGGAAATAGGTTTTCATCACTAAGAGAGTGACAGTCACTAAGCATGTAGGCTCTGGAGCCAGCTGCCTTGGTTTGAACTCTATCAGCAGTGTGACCTTGGATAAGTCAGTCTTGCTAGGTCCCAAATCCATCCTGCAAGATGTTATCAGTGGCCTTTGAGGATGAAATGAGTTAACACATATCAGCTGCTGGCTCAGCGCATGGTAGCTATAGTGAAAGAACCAGGTCCCCAGCCTGCTGACAGCAGGAAATAGCACTGCTGGGTTAGGTGAAGGCAGGAGTGAGAGGAGGGTAGTTGGCCTCCTGACTGGTCTACTTGCCAGGTCTCCTGCACATTGGGGAGGGGGCGTGAGGGTTGGGAGTTGGGGATGCTGAAGTAACCACAGACTAAATAAGTGGTGGTAATGCTGGAAGTGACTGTTTATTGAGTACCAACTATGGTCTCTTTTTTTTTTGTTCTTGAGACAGTCTCATTCCGTAGTCCAGGCTGGAGTGCAATGGTGCAGTCTTGGCTCACTGCAACCTCTGCTTCCTAGGTTCAAGCAACTCACCTGCCTCAGCCTCCTAAGTAGCTGGGATTACAGCCACACGCCACCACACCTGGCTAATTTTTGTATTTTTAGTAGAGACAGGGTTTTGCCATGTTGGCCAGACTGGTCTTGAATTCCTCAGGTGATCCACCCGCCTTGGCCTCCCAAAGTGCTGGGATTACAGGCATAAGCCACCACACCCGGCCAAAAAGCATTACTTTAAAAACTGTGTTATAGGCATATCATTTAGCAATGCAGAAGTACACATGAGAAGAGCTCAAAGTGCTTGTCTCTGTAGGTCGATGGCAAAGGGAGACATGTGAGGAGATGACACACGTATGTGTTATTTTGGTAAAAAAAAAAAATTAAAAAAACGAAGAGGAGACATTTAAAGAGGTAAGTTTCGAGCCGGGTGTGGTGGCTCACATCTGTAATCCCAGTGCTTTGGGAGACTGAGACAGGTGGTTCACTTGTGGTCAGGAGCTCGAGACCAGCCAGGCCAACATGGTGAAACCCCGTTTCTACTAAAAATATAAAAGTTAGCAGGGTGTGGTGGTGCACGCCTGTAATCCCAGATACTAGGGAGGCTGAGGCAGGAGAATCACTTGAACCCAGGAGGTGGAGGTTGCAGTAAACCGAGATTGCACCACTGCATTCCACCCTGGGTGATAGAGTGAGATTCTGTCTCAAAAAAAAAAGAAGAAGAAGAAGGTTTTGATATATGTGCTTAATGTCCTACTGTTTTCCAACTGGGGATGGAGCTGGGTCATCCCTCCATCCATCACTCTCACTCAAATTCTCTTGATTAGAAAGAAATGACCAGGCACAGTGGCTCACACCTGTAATCCCAACACTTTGGGAGGCCAAGGCAGGCGGATCACCTGAGGTCAGGAGTTCGAGACCAGCCTGGCCAACATGGTGAAACCTCATCTCTACTGAAAGTACAAAAATTAGCCGGGCGTGGCGGCAGGTGCCTGTGATCCCAGCTACTTGGGAGGCTAAGACATGAGAATCATTTGAACCTGGGAGGTGGAGGTTGCAGTGAACCAAGAACTCACCAATGCATTCCAGCCTGTGTGACAGAGTAAGACTGTCTCAATGAAATAAAATATAAAATAAAATAAAATAAAATAATAAAATAAAATAAAATAAATAAAATAAAAATTTTTAAAAAAGAAAGAAGCAGCCGGGCGCAGTGGCTCAAGCCTGTAATCCCAGTACTTTGGGAGGCCGAGGCGGGTAGATCACAAGGTCAAGAGAACGACACCATCCTGGTCAATATGGTGAAACCCTGTCTCTACTAAAGATACAAAAAATTAGCTGGGCATGGTGGCACGTGCCTGTAATCCCAGCTACTCGAGAGGCTGAGGCAGGAGAATAGCCTGAACCCAGGAGGCGGAGGTTGCGGTGAGCCGAGATTGCGCCATTGCACTCCAGCCTGGGGAACAAGAGCGAAACTCTGTCTCAAAAAAAAAATTAAAAAAAAAAAAAAGAAAGAAAGAAGCAAGAGTAGGAAGGGGAGAACTGCTGACATGCCAAGAGGGTGTAGGCGTGAGGACCCACACTCCCACCAGGCCCACACTGGACTGCAGAGGCCAGGCTGACACCCAGGCAAGTGCCCTGTGACTTCACCTTTCCCACCCTAAGTCCCTTACCCAGCCTGATGTCTCCCTCGAGGGTCATCAGCACGTTGCCAGCTTTCAGATCTCGGTGGATGATCCTCTTGCTGTGCAGGAAGTTGAGGGCTTCTAGCATCTGGCGGCAAACGACCTGTATCTGGGGCTCTGTGAGGCCTCTGTCCAGCTCTGGTAATAGAGGAGAACGGCTGTCAATTCAGTAAGCACTCGTCGCAGGCAACTGAAATGTCAGGCCCACGCCAGGGAGAAACACAAAAGCCACCAAAATCAAGGAGTGCTCACCATGTACTGGGTTCATTTCTAAGCACATCATGCACACTGACCCATTTTGTCATCACAATAGACCTATGGAGCAGGCATAAGTATTGTCCCCCTTTTACAGATGGGGAAATTGAGGCTTGGAAAGGTTGAGCCACCAGCTCAAGGTCATGCAGGTGGGAAGTCACAGATTTGAGATTCAAACCAGGGTCTGGCTTTAGAGCTCTGGTTTGTAAACATAAGCCTGACTGAGGCATAGAGATCCATCATGTCTCCAGACACTGAGAGGGCACTTACTATGTGTCTGGCTGTGTGCTTGGCACAGGAAGGCAGAGGGGACATGGAAATAGCCAATAACATTTGGAGCAGAGTAGGGTGCAGGCATGTGGGATGTCAGAACCGGTAGGAACCCCTTCTAGCTGGGGGAATCGGGAGGCTGCCCAGAGGAAAGGATATTTGGGCTGTGTCTTAACGGAGGAGAATAGGCGGGGCAAGGGCACTCTAGGTCAAGGAGCCAGCAGAGGCAATGGCTGACATGAGCTGGTGTTTAAAAAATATCCACTGGGAAGACCCTCTCTTGGGTGACCCACTTTCTCAGTATGAGGAAGCTTTTTTTATGTTTCTTCTTTTTTGCCTATTAAACTTTCCACTGGGTATTGGTGGTGGCACCGGGGGATGCGGAAGGGGAAAGGCCAGAGAGACCAGAGGGCAGGTTGCTAAGAGCCTTTTGTGTGCCAGTCAGCGGGGAGACACAAGTGCCCATGTGCACACACTGCAGACAGCTCGATGTCTGCCTAGAGATGGCCAGGGCCTTTCTTCCCTGAGGTTCACAGGTTGAATAAGTCTGAGCAGGAAGGTGGGGAGCAGGAAGAATATTCCTGGAGAGGGGAACAGACTCGTGTGGTGGGAGGGGGCAGATGAAGGGAGAGTGACTCAAGGTCAGAAGTCAACAGGCCTTGACTCTGCAGGACTTTTGGGCCACACTGTGGTGGCTGCATTTGATTTGAAATGTGGTGGGCAGTCCACGAGAGGTTCTGAGTGGGGCAGACAGTCTGATTTTTGCATTAAAAAAATTCCCATGGCTGAGAGAAGTTTAGTGCTCTCTACTCAGAAGGCCAAGATAGGAGAATCACTTGAGGCCAGGAGTTCAAGGCTGGCCTGGGCAACATAGCGAGACCCAGCTATGCTTATAACATTTATTATGTTATAAATGAAACAAAATAAACAACAAAAAAAATTCCCTCTAGTGCAGCAAAGAGCTTGCTGGGCAGCAGGGGCAGGGGCTCAGCTGGAGGTCATCAAAGTGGTCCCGACAGCAGCCAAGGCAGAGAGGAGAAAAGCTCAATGGATGGATTAGGGAGGTGGAGCCGACAGAATGTGGAGGCAGTGGAGGAAGGGAGTGAGAAGATTCCAGGGTGACAGCCTTGTGCTCTGCATCCCACAAGACTGTCCTGATTCAGTCAATGTTGCTACCCAAGACCCCTGTGACCAGGGGAGCCACCTCCCTTGGCCTGCCAGGTTCTCAGGCTTCAGCTTCTAAGCCTGGTCACCCAAAGGCACTGCTCTGAGTCCTCCCTCTGCCTATAGCAGAACTGCAGTGTCCAGCTCACCCATTGGTGCCTGGACAGGAACCCACAAGGCTCAGCTCTCCCAGCCAAGTCCTCAGGAGTGGCAAAATAGACATGCCAGCCAGGAATGCAGGTACCAACTGCCCTGCCCTGGGAAGCCAGGCCCCAGATCAGGGCTCCTGGACCAGAGACTTCTCTCTCTAGAGCCTGCAAGCTGCTCTCTGTCCCTGTGGCCTCATCCTTAACCTCTGTGCCTCCAGCCAGGGGCCAGGATCAGAGCCTGCATGGGCTTCAGGAGCACACAGACCAAGCCTATGCCAAGGTGCTGCCTCTCACTAGTTGTGTGGTTACTGGCAAGTCACCTAAGTGCTCTGGCCCTTCATTTCCTGGTCTGTGAAATGGGATGATTATAACCGACATAGGCAGGGCTCCAGCCCTGAGCCACCACGCGTGGCCTGATACACTTTTTAAAGTCAGGACCAGGGGAGCTACCTCCCTTTAAAGTCAGGATTGAGCTGGGCGTGGTGGCTCATGCCTGTAATCCCAGCACTTTGGGAGGCTAAGGCATACCATGAGGTCAGGAGTTTGAGACCAGCCTGGCCAATATGGTGAAACCCCATCTCTACTAATAATACAAAAATTAGCCGAGCATGGTGGCACACACCTGTAGCCCAGCTAGTCAGGAGGCTGAGGCAGAAGAATTGCTTGAACCTGGGAGGCAGAGGTTGCAGTGAGCCCTGGGAGGCAGAGCGAGACTCCATTTCAATAAATAAGTAAATAAAATAAAGTCAGGATTATTGAAGTAAAATTTACATATAGAAAAAATTCACCTATTTAAGATATACAGTTCTATGAATTTTGACCAACATATTCAGTCATGTAACCCTGTTCACAATTTAGATACAAAATCCACCAATCATCCTCCAAGATTCCCCTGCGGCCTTTGCAGTAAACTCTTACCCCCGTTTCCAGCCCCTATGTAATTACTAATTTGATTTCTATCCCTATAGTGTTGTATTTTTCTAGAATGTCATATAATTGGAATCATACAATATGCAGCCTTTTGAGTCCAATACATTTTTAGGAATGATTTTTAATTACACAGCAATGCATGAATACTTTCTCCTTATTAAAAAAAACTACAACACTGCAAATGAATCTAAGTCCCCTTTGACACCACATCCAATCCTTGCCTCCCATCCTTTCCATGATAAAAGGGTGGAGACCCAAGATGTTTAATAGGTAGCAAGGCATGGCCAATCGTATCCATTTCAATCGGAACAGGCACTGGGTGTTAAACTAGAATGGTTCCATGGTGACATACCACATGGGCATTTTCTCCATGTCACAAAAGGGCCAGTCCTGTGCCCCAAAGCCTCCAAAAAGAGAAACCTGGACTGGACCTCAGGGAATGGATCTCTGGGCCCCAAATCCAGGCTAGTAATGCTTTCCAGCCATGCAGGGCAAAGGGGAGACGGATGGAGGAGCAGAAAGCCCCTCTAAGTAGGGCAGGCATCTGCAGGGAAGTCAATCCTAAACAGCTGCCGCTAGGACCTAGCTCTGAACGTGTTGGCTGTCACTATTTCAGCTTCTCTTCTCCAATTATGATTTCCCAAATGTTCCTTTAACTGCTGCCACCAACAAGGGGAAAGCTGCCTAGGGCTAGAGCAGTCAGGGCCAAGAGGAGAACTGAGACGGGAGCCAGGGCAGGGTTTGCCTGCTGGCTTAGCTGTAGTCTGGGTCACGCCCCAGCTGTGAATGAGGTCGAGGGCATAGTACACTTCAGTGCCTTTTCTGTCTCTGATATTCCCCTCCAGCTAAGCTCATTAAGTTAAGCTGCATACCAGGGGACACAGAGGCTGCTAGCTGGTTTCCATTTCCCCCTTCTTTTTTAGTATCAGAACATATGGCTACCCAGCTAGAAAATCACATTCCCCAGCCTCCATTCCAGCTGTGTGTGATATGCTACAGCTAATGAGACCTATAGCAAAGTGTCATGTAAAGTTTTTCTGAAGTCTCTTTAAAAAAGAGTCTTCACTGTGGGGTAGGGGTGGGTGGTTATTCTACCCTCTTGTCTTCCCTCCTGCTGCTTGGAATTCAGATGTGATGGCTGGCGCTCCCACACCATCTTGTCATCAAGGGCAGAAAACCAGCATGAGAATGGGGCTAACACAGAGGACAGTGGGGCCAACAGTTGGTTAAAGAAATCAAGTCCTTACCATAACTCTTCATTTATTTTTTATTTTATTTTTGAGACAAGGTCTCACTCTGTCACCGAGGCTGGAGTGTACTGACATGATTTTGGCTCACTGCAACCTCTGCTTCCTGAGCTCAAGTGATCCTCCAGCTTCAGCCTCCCGAGTAGCTGGGATTACAAGTATAAACCACTAAGCCCAGCTAATTTTTGTATTTTTTGTAGAGTCGGGATTTTGCTGTGTTGCCCAGGCTGATCTCAAACTCCTGAGCTCAAAGTGATCCACCTGCCTCAGCCTCCCAAAGTGCTGGGATTACAGGTGTGAGCCACTGCATTCCACCCCTTATCATAACTCTTTAAAACTCCTAGAACAAGCTGTGCCTGAGCTAGCCATCCTTTAAGTCTTCAGTTCTTTGTGCTAATAAATTCTACTTCCTATATCCCCCACCTAAAAAAGTCTGAGTATTGGCCGGGCGCGGTGGCTCAAGCCTGTAATTCCAGCGCTTTGGGAGGCCGAGGCAGGTGGATCATGAGGTCAAGAGATTGAGACAATCCTGGTCAACATGGTGAAACCCCGTCTCTACTAAAAATACAAAAATTAGCTGGGCATGGTGGTGCATGCCTCAGCTACTCAGGAGACTAAGTGAAACTCTGTCTCAAAAAAAAAAAAAATGTCTGAGTATTTTGGCTCCTTATAACCTAAAGTCTCAATTCATACCAGACTATCTCTTTTATCCTGTTGGAGTCTATCCCCCAAAATGGTAATCTTCAAAGGCAGTGTCTGCTGAGAGAAGGCACACCCAAGAGCCATATAACACGTGCCATGTATCCTTCTCGCTACTGTCATTTACCTGCCTGGGAACTCGGTGGCGTGGTAAGTGGCTCTGAAACAAAGCTTATGGGTCCTGCCTTTCTACAGCCCGGGATGGGATGGACTACTGTGAATCTGACACATTCCTGAGATGGGTTTAGATCACAATCCTAAAAGACACAGTCTCAAATACCATAATTCCAAATGTTGAAATCCCCGAAGATCAAAATCCCTAAAATCTAAAATCCTAAAAATCTCAATCACAGGATAGTTGTATCCTGTTAGGTCAACTCTTATGAACGGTCTCTGTGCAACTGCCCATAATCTATCCCTGTAATACGCTTGTTCCTAAGTTAAATTTGAAAAAACTAAATGGTCTTTAGTTTATATATATATTCCCCACCCCCTCTCCCCCTTTTTCTTTTGAGATGGAGTCTCACTGTCTCACCCAGGCTGGAGTACAGTGGTGCGATCTTGGCTCACTGCAACCTCCACCTTCTGGGTTCAAGCGATTCTCCTGCCTTAGTCTCCTGAGTAGCTGGGACTACAGACGTGCACCATCACACCTGGCTAATTTTTCTATTTTGAGACAGGGTTTCACCGTGTTAGCCTGGCTGGTCTTGAACTCCTGACCTCAAGTGATTCACCTGCCTCAGCCTCCCCAAGTGCTGGGATTATAGATGTGAGCCACCACACACAGCCCTTTCCCCGCTGTTTTAAATAGCATTACTTTCTGCAATTCACTATGCTATGTATTTCATCCTCACATCATTTTCAATACTGGAGGCATAAATAGTATAGAGATTTTGAGAGAGTTCTAATTCCTTTTATGAGTTTTTTGCTAATTTAACTTCATGAAAGTGTGTTATCTCAGCATTGATGGTGTATAAGCATTGCTCATTATGTAAAAATGTTAAAAGTTCCTCAATAAATGAAGAGATGTCCTTTTGGTACATTTGCATTTGTGAAAGATAGACTTTCTCTAGATCCCAGCTCTTTGGGCATCTGCATAGGCCCTAGTGACCCACTGAGGGTTTTAATCGATCTCATCAAAAGGCTTAGGTGGCTCATTACAAGAGTTCAGACAACAGCTATAAAACTGTGTACACACAATCGCCAATCCTGGTGATATGCATTTATACATTTCCCTTTTTGACCTCTTTCTTTATGAGTACAAGTCATCTGCTCAATTTTTTTTTTGAGATAGAGTTTTACTGTGTCACCCAGGCTGGAGTGCAGTGGTGTTACCTTGGCTCACTGCAATCTCTGCCTCCTGGGTTCAAGTGATTCTCCTGCCTCAGTCTCCCAAGTAGCTAGGATTACAGGCACCTGCCACCACGCCCAATTAATTTTCGTTTAGTAGAGATGGAGTTTCACCATGTTAGCCAGGCTGGTCTCGAACTCCTGACCTTGGGTGATCTGCCTACCTCAGCCTCCCAAAGTGCTGGGATTACAGGTGTGAGCTACTGCATCCGGCTGATCTGCTCATAATTGTTATACCTGTGTAACCATCCTGGGTATAACTGAGTGTTTCTGTTTGCAAGAATATGCACGTTATTATCGCCTATTTGATTGTGTAAAGTAGCCTATGAAGTGTTGTCATGTTTTTCTATTTCTCAAATCCCCCTTTAAAATATAAATATACAGAATTTAAAAACTTTTTTTTAGAATTACATTTTTGAGATTTTGACCTTTCAGGATTGTACTTGACAGGAGTTTAGACTTTTGGCATTTTGTTATTTTGGGATTTCAACATTCAGGATTATGGCAATCAAGGTTGTTTCAGTATTATGATTGGCTCTGTCCTGAGATAAACTCAGGGAAAATACCTTCAATGGTGTGACATTATACCGAGTGCTTCTCTTCTTCTGGACCATCCCAGAATCCTGGACATGTCCCTCAACCTTCCAGGCCTCTCCTTGGCCTCTCTGAACTCACTGTCTTGCAGGGTGGCAAGAGCCGGGGATGCTGCGGGATGGGCCGTGGTGAGGAGCGGGTCACCCAGACCTGGGTTCACAGCTCTCCTGTGTGAACTGGGTGAGCCCTTTAACCGTTCAAGTGTCAGCTCAATAAAAAATAAAAGTGATGCTCGCCTGTAATGCACTTTTGGAGGCCTAGGAGGGTGGATCACCTGGGGTCAGGAGTTTGAGACCAGCCTGGCCAACATGGTAAAACCCCGTCTCTACTAATTAGCTGGGCATGGTGTCAGGTACCTGTAACCCCAGCTACTCAGGAAGGACGCTGAAGCAGAAGAACTGCCCAGGTGGAGGAGGTCACAGTGAGCCAAGATCGTGCCACTGCACTCCAGCCTGGGCAACCGAGCAAGACTTCATCTCAAAAAATAAAAAAATAAAACTGATACTCTTCCTGATTTTACACCTGAGGATTAGAGGAGGATCACATATGTGAACATGGCTGTGAACAGAGAAACACAGTTTCTCTGGCATATAGAAACTATTCACAAAGGAATGGCCACTACTAACATTTCACTATAGTCATCGTCATTGCTATGCTCAAGCTTGCGCAGGACACTGAGACCTGACACTGTCCCCACTGAGCATTTACTAAATGTGTGGGTCTCCCCACTTTTCAAAGACCTTCCTCTGGTATCTTGCTTTCATCTTCTTAGAGTACTGTGCTGTGGGGTCCCTCATAGAAGGCATCACACCCATCTTACAGTCAAGAGGCCTCAAGAGGGAGAGTGGCCAGTTTAAATGGCCACACATGGCTTTTGGGACAGGGAGTGCTGGTCTTCCAGCAAATATTTTCTTCAAGAACCCAACCCCCCTGTCTCAACTAAAAATAGAAAAACAAGCCATTCGTGGTGGTGTATGCCTGTAGTCCCAGGCTACTTGGGAGGTTGAGGCAGGAGAATCGCTTGAACCCAGGAGGCAGAGGTTGTGAGTGACCTGAGATCACACCACTGCACTCCAGCCTGGGCAACAGAGCAAGCCTCTGTCTCAAGAAAAGAAAGAAAGGAAAAAAAGCTGACAAAGCAAAGAGGTGCTCAAAGAGGCCATGGGAACTGACAGAGTGGGAGAGTGGAAGACCCAGTCCTAGACAGAGCCATTCAGCAGTTAGACTTAGGACGCCAAACCAGACATCTGGTCCCGGCAATCAAGTAAGACTCACCCAGCATGATAGCATCCACAGCTCCTCCTGGACAGAACTCAATCATGATCTGCAGAAAACACAGGGAAAAGTAACAATGAGTGGGGCTGCCCAGCCCTTGAGACCGAAAACCCCCAGGTCCCAGCCAGGCAGGGTCCACCAGCGTCCAATGCCTGGGTGCCCCTGCTCCCTGGACCTCCACCTCCTGCCTTGGGAGCCCAACCCCCTCCCCCAATGTGCCTCACCCTCACAGGAGGCTCTGACACCCAGAGGAGCTGCTTGGGGGCTTCATTTTCTGAAGGAGGAAAATCAAGTTGCTATGAAGACCTGAAACTTCAGCAAACAGCCTCTTCAGCCAAGCATACACCCTCCCGCCTCGCTCCCGCCTATGTCCTGGTGCCCACCAGCCAGCTGCCCTGTTTCCTACACTCCACAGCCAAGAACCTCAGGACGCCTTCCCCGTGGCCAAGCTGGCCAAGTCCTCCCAGAATCCCAGCACCTAGTTCAGGCTGTCTTCCATCTTCCAGCACCCCAGAACTTGCTGGCTTAGGACATCAGGGCCTCTAAGATCAGCTCAGATGGAGAAACTGAGGCCAAGAAAGGGAATGTAACGACCAAGGCCACACAGTTTGTTCCTGGACTGGGAAGCAGGGCTCCAAACCCTCAGGTCATCCACTCACTCATCATACACCTGCTTCACACTGACAGACTGCAGGCCCTGGGAGAACAGCCAGGTCCAGGCCCTCAAGGGGCTCCCAGCCTAGTGGAGAGGCGGAAAGGACAATTACATTAAAAAGCTCTTCTCGCCCTGGTTCACTCCTATTCTCACTCTTTCTGGCCCACTCTGGGCTCTTCGCATAGATGCTTTTTTTTTTTTTTTTTCTTTTGAGACAGAGTCTCGCTCTTGTCACCCAGGCTAGAGTGCAAGGGCATGATCTTGGCTCCATCTCTCAGGTTCAAGCTGTTCTCCTGCCTCAGCCTCCCAAGTAGCTGGGTTATTAAAGGTGCCTGCCACCACACCTGGCTAATTTTTGTGTTTTTAGTAGAGACAGGGTTTCACCATATTGGCCAGGCTGGTCCCCAACTCATGACCTCAGGTGATCTGCCTGCCTTGGCCTCCCAAAGTGCTGGGATTACAGGCATGAGCCATCATGTCTGGCCTCTTTTTTCTTTTTCTCTTTTTAATTGAGACGGAGTCTCACTCTGTCACCAGGCTGGAGTGCAGTGGCATGATCTAGGCTCCTTGCAACCTCTGCCAGCCGGGTTGAAGCAATTCTCCTGCCTCAGCCTCCCAAGTAGCTGAGATTACAGGTGTACACTCCCACGCCTGGCTAAATTTTTTTGTATTTTTAGTAGAGAGGGGTTTCACCATGTTGGTCAGGCTGGTCTCGAACTCTTGACCACGTGATCCACCTGCCTTGGCCTCCCAAAGTGCTAGGATTACAGGCATAAGCCACCGCGCCCAGCCTCTTTAAATGTTGTTTTTTTTTTGAGATGGAGTCTTGCTCTGTCACATGGACCCGGGCTGGAGTGCAGTGGAACGATCTCAGCTCACTGCAAACTCTGCCTTCCAGGTTCAAGCGATTCTCCTGCCTCAGCTTCCCAAGTAGGTGGGATTACAGGCACCCACCACTATGCCCAGCTAATTTTTTGTATTTTTGGTAGAGATGGGGTTTCACCATTTTGGCCAGGCTGGTCTCGAACTCCTAACCTCAGGTGATCCACCCTCCTGGGCCTCCCAAAGTGTTGAGATTACAGGCATGAGTTCAAAGTAGAGCTACAGATGGTTGACGAAGGCAGATGGCATCACAAACTTCAGAGCAGGCAAAATCACCTCTTAGCTTCCAGCTCCTGGTTCCTACCTGTTGTGAAGTCCCTTCAACCCAGCTCGGCAGAAGCCCTGGAGAGTGGGGCAGTCAAGAAGACCCACACTCTCTCTAAACAGGAAAGAAACCCTCAGCCATGGTCCAGCTGGACCCGGGACAGCTCTCCAGCCAGAGAAGGGAATTTGATGAGGCCTCCAGCAATGTAAATATGAACTTGAGGTCATGAGGGTCCTATGAGGATGTGGTGATGCATGGCTTTGGAGCCAGCCATGGCCGGGCCCAAGACCTAGGTTCCACTGCTCACTAGTGTGGCCTTGGACAGGTCACTTCAATCCTCTAAGCCTGTGTCCTCAGCTGTAAAATAGGGCTGCTGATGTGGTTGCTCTGAACTAGGACCCCACCACTGGGCTGCACTAGGGGGTATGCCAGGCTGGGATGCAAGAAACCATAGCAGATAAACCAGGGGACTTTAACGTGGGCCCAGGTTCCAAGGGTAGCAAGGCAATCCAGGCCCTGCCAGGCTTGCCACATGCTGCGTGCCGCAGGCAGAGAGCTGTGGAAGGCGGCACAGCCCACTTCACATCACTGCCTGCTGAGGAGGAGGGAGGCTTGCTGGGTCACTCCAGTCCTCCCTGGTCATCAACATTGGGCCTGACCTCAGCTTCCTCAAGACTTCTCTCTAGCACTACAGTGACCCAACACCCTTGAATAAAAGTCATCAGAAATGGATCCATGAACACCAAGGAAGAGGTACTTCCTTCATCCACTTATTCAATCATTCATTCATCTATTCATTTGTTCACTCTTAGCCAACCACCATCCAATCAGCTTGTTGCCACAGGCAAGGGAACAGACAGAGGTGACTTGGAAATAGGCAATGACCTTTTGAAGCACAGCATATCATTCTGCCTTGTAGTAATTCCCAGTTCCACAAAAGAGGAAAAAAATTCTACTCACTGCGAGAAAAAAACCAAGCCGCAAGAGGTGATGATGGAAAAGAAGCCAAACTCAGTCACCATGCAAGGCCACTTACTAGCTGAGCAACCTGTGAGATGGGGATGATGTACCCTAACCCTCATGGGAATGATAAGCTCATCCAGGCCTTGCCAGGTGCCTGGCCCCTGGTTGGGACTCAGATATGTGAGCTGTCACTATGATTCTTTCCTTGAGTTCATGGGTCTGTTTTTCTCATTTATTTCTGTTTGGGTTTTTCAAGGCTCCATGAAAGCCACCCTCTCCCCTCTCCCCCAGAAATATTCCTGTGCAATTCTATTGAATCCTCGCACATCCTCAAGTTCCATCACCAAACCCTGGTTGGGAATCCCTGCTTAGCTTCTCTAATACCTACTATCTGTATGGCCTGGACAACCACAATCCTCTCTGTAAAATGGGCTACGATTACGTGGCTCTAGGATTTACTGTAAGAAATAGATAAGGTGGTACTTAATAAAGACCCGATCCTAGGCCAGGGGCAGTGGCTCACTCCTATAATCCCAGCACTTTGGGAGGCTGAGGCAGACAGATCACCTGAGATCAGGAGTTTGAGATCAGCCTGGCCAACATGGTAAAACGCTGTCTCTACTAAAAATACAAAAAGTAGCCAGGTGTGGTCGTGGGTGCCAGTAATCCCAGCTACTCAGGAGGCTGAGGCAGGAGAATCACTCCCAGGAGGCAGGGGTTGCAGTGAGCCGAGATCATGCCACTGCACTCTAGCTTGGGTGAGAGTGAGACTCTGTTTCACACACACACACACACACAAAAGACCCAGTCCTAATACACCGTGGATATTTAACAATGTCAGACACTTCCCCCTTCTCTAACAAAGTGCCAACAAAAAGGAAAAGGTTGTAAACTTGGGCTTGAGTCCTGGTATGCCACTTAATTGGCTGTGTGACCCTGGATAAGTCAATCTCCCTGAGCCTCCATTTTCTCATCTGTAAAATGGCATAATAACTTCTTGCCTCCAACTTCATTGAGACAGTTTTGAGATTCCTCACATGAAAGAACAGCACGAAAGCCACACAGTTCATGTGTTTGTTAAATCTCTACTAAAGGAAATCACCAGAAAGTTTCATGCTTAGATTAGATTATTTCGGCTTCCTACAAAAATATACCTTCCTTTTAGTCTGATTCCTAGGGAAAACAAAACAAAGAAATGCCTTCCCAGAACTACAATTTATTTATGTATTTATTTATTTTTGAGAACTACAATTTATGAACATGCCATCAGCTGTTCTTTTTTTTTTTTTTTTGAGATGGAGTGCCTCTTGTTACCCACGCTGGAGTGCAATGGTGCGATCTTGGCTCACCGCAACCTCCGCCTCCTGGGTTCAAGCAATTCTCCTGCCTCAGCCTCCTTCATCTGTTCTTAAGAGTCAGTATGGACGGGGCATGGTGGCTCACACCTGTAACCCCAGTAGTTTGGGAGGCTGAGGCAGGCGGATCACCTGAGGTCAGGAGATTAAGACCAGCCTGGCCAACATGGTGAAACTCTATCTCTACTAAAAATACAAAGTTAGCTGGGTGTGGTGGTGGCGCCTATAATCCCAGGTACCTGGGAGGCTAAGGCAGGAGAATCACTGGAATCCAGGAGCTGGAGGTTGCAGGTTGCAGTAAGCTGAGATCACGATATTGCACTCCAGCCTGGGCAACAGAGTGAGACTCTGTCTCAAAAAAAAAAAAAAAAAAAGAGTCTGTATGAGAAGTGACCAAACCCAGGCAGTTCCTTCATCTTTCATTGAAGCTGTCCCTTACACAACACTCTTACACAAGGTCCCTGTGCCCTCTCCAGAGGTCAGCATTCTGACAAACTGGCTTGCTTCCTCTTCTACAGTTCAACAGTTCCACAACCCCTTGAGCTTCCCTTTTATTTATTTATTATTTTGCCTTGGCTACCGGGAAGCTCTGAGTTAAGTTCTTCAGCTTTGGTTTGACTCCCAGGCCTTACTTGCTTTTTTCAATATCTGGGTCTTAACATTTTTACCTTCAGCTTATCAGTGGCAGGAAAGTTCTCCCAAAAGGCATGTGTTGGCTGGGCATGTTGGTGGCTCACACCTGTAATCACAGCACTTTGGGAGGCCAAGGTGCATGGATCGCCTAAGGTCAGGAGTTCAAGACCAGCCTGACCAACGTAGTAAAACCCCATCTCTGCTAAAAATATAAAAAATTAACTGGGCGTGGTGGTGGGCCCAGCTACTTGGGAAGCTGAGGTAGAAGAATCCCTTGAACCTGGGAGGTGGAGGTT